CACATCTATGTTCTCTGAAGGAGGAGAGGAACACGAGGAAGAAAAATTTGGGAAAGCAGTAGCCAGTAAACTGGTTACCATTTTAAATCCATGGTCTTCTGTGGGTGAGGTGACTTCAGTGACCTCCCACTGCTGGCTCCCATGGGGAAGAACAGATGCAGTGTCCCTGCAGCAGCAGCAGCAGCACGACTCTTGTGAAAATTCATGGTAAAAGCCAGAAATGGTTTGGTTTGTGACCTACCTTCACTAAGGGAAGACCCTCACAGAAGAACCACGTTTACTGGAGCACTGCTCCAGCACTCTATAACACCTTGTAGATCTCAGAAACCACCACTGGCTCGTGAATTGTCCCAGGCAAAGCACAACACTGCCCTGTCCCAGAAAAATAAGCTGAATTCTGGGAGTAAGATGAACTGGAGGGTCAGTGTCCCTTTTATTTTATGTCATATCATAACAATGAATATTTAGAAGATAAATAAATAATTTTTCTCTGCTTAGAAAAACCTTCTGATGTTCCTGTGGTATTTTGGGTTGACGATGATGAAAGATGACATGCACAGCTTTTCACTTACAGAAAGGGAACACGGGCAACTCACATTTTCCAAATTCAATGACACAGGAACAAACAAATCAAGTACCATCTGTACCAATCTCACCTGAACAACTTGAATTTGAGATACAAAGGATTCCACAAAGGAAAGAGCCAAGTGTCTGAAGCCATTTTAGTATCGGACATTTTTTCTTAACAGCTTTAAGCATCTCCAGCTCTTTTATCCAACATACTACAAGGCATCTTAAAACATTCTGTATTACAGAATGCTATCTGAATGTACCCTCCAGCATCCTCAAAGGATTGCTCCAGTTCAGCATCTGCTTAAAACACTGAGCCTTCTTGCCTGCCTTTTTATTTTCCCCTTCCTGCTTGGGGCTAATCAGTCTACTTGTTTCTCTGGAAGAGCAATGTGCTTCTCAGAATGCCTTAGGTACTGGAGAGACCCTTCAGTCCACCCTCAACTACTCATAATTATACTTCTACCTCTGATTCATTCATCAGTCAAGAAAGCAGAGATCAAAAAAGGCATTCCCTTATTTTCTGTCAGAACATCATTCAGCCTAAGAACATTTTTGCAGAATAAGATGATTCACTGAGATTAAATTATGTGCTTATTTTCAGAAGTTTCCAATCCATCTTCCCAGAAGCTGTCTGCACATTCCTCCTCTCTTTCAACAGAAGCCCTCTGCAATAGGCACACAACTCTTCTGGTTAGGTTTCAGAGTTTCTGTTCTATCTCCAAATTCTTTTGATCTCTCAAATTGTTGACTTTGCCCTTTTTGGCAATATTTTCACTCAATGGTGATCTCCCCCTGAACTTCCCACTCCACTTCTGGCCTCTCCTTGGTCCTGTTCTCAGCCTCAGCCTTCCTCAGAGACTGCTTTCCATCTACTTCAATTTCAGATGGTCAAAACTTAGCTCCTTACTGACCTTTCATGGGTTTCTTCCTCTTTCTTATGGCCCTGTGGGCAACATCCACTGCAGTATTCCAATCCACAGAGCTGGGAACTAAACAAACCCCTGGACTGTGCCTGCTTCCTACTCACAACATATCCCTTCCTCTCTCACTAGCAAAAACATCCCTTACTTTGACCAGTAACTGGTAGTCAGTTTGGAAATACTTTCTTGTACCCGACATTCATGGATTTTTTTTTTTCCATGTACTATTTACTTTGTGACTACCAGCCTCAAACAAAAGGGCATTTTTTTTTCTAGTGTTTTGGGGTGGTTATGGTTTTCTTCCTCCCAAATGCAGTATTAATAAACCCATGGAAAACAAAACAAAACAAAACCAAGCAAAAGTATCTTTGTAACAGCTCCTGTATACTTGGAGATAGCTAATGATGTCATCACATGGGTACAGTCCCTTTTGAAAATGCCAGCATTCCCAGAGTCCCATGGAAAGCAACTAATAGGGGACCACGTCTATGCTTTCAATTATCTTCAACTTCTTGACACCACTTACTGCTCCAGAAACAATGATTTCATAATTTATAATAAAAAACTAAAGTGGATGGGTTTTTTTTTTATGTATCAACACACTCCATTTCATTTGTGTTACCCTCTAAAGAGTGGGAGAGGCTGGTGTTCCTTACCTGCGAGCTCTCAGTGAATCTATCTGTGCTCAGTCTCTGAACACTGGACTGCCCTGAAGTGTGGCCTCAAACACAGCAGAAGAGAAAGGAGAGAGCACAGGTGGAGAAGACTCTGCAATCTGGTGCTTTGCACAGCACTGCTGGCTTAAAAATAGTGGCTTGCAGGGAGGCTGGGAAACTTGACTTGTCATAAAATGCAACCTTTCCCTCAGTAATCCAACATATTTTATGTATTAAGACTCTAATGAAGAAGTTACCTCTTGCTTTGTTCCAGGTCTTGTGACAGATCGGTTTTTCAAGGACAAATCCCCATCGATGTCAATGAATTCCAGCACTCCTGGTGGAGCTGCTGAGATACGCTTGAGATAGCCCAGCATGGGAATACGGCAAGGAAGAACAAAACCAAGCACAGGCCTGGTCAAAAACTCTTTAGGCATGAGAAGGAATGAACAGGAGGGATGCACTCCAACTAGAATAACAGGATTTTGTTGTTTTTGTTGGCTCTAAACATCACGCATGCTCTGATGCCACCAGTAGAATAAACAAAGATACCACAAAGTTTCCCAAAGCATGAGAATGCAGCAACACAGTTACAGGGACTACCCTGAAACCTGCAGGATATCAGTGCCTGGAAATCCCCCTAGTGAAAAATTTGTATCCTACAGTCAACAGCAAACCACTTTTTGCACCTACCAGCAGATGCTGTCTGCTAAAAGATAATACTCAGCTGTTTTCATTAAAGCTCAGTCTTTGATAGGACAGAGGCAGCAATTTATGCTAAAGTTTATCACTAAAGACTTTTAGGAGGTTTTAAAATACAAACCTAAAAACTCTCTTGGCTTTCCAACTGGCTTAACTTTTTGTAGAATGCACCCATTTAAACACAGCATTTCTGACAGGAGGAATTTCAACAATGCAGCACGGTGGCAATGTAGCTGATTAGCCCCGTGGAGAAAGCTTCTCCAAGTTGGACTTTTGGTCAGCGTACAACATTCAGGATACAAAAATACTCTGGTGGTCTTCCACTTCAGCCATAATAAAAGAGATCTTCTACACTTTAGCTAAAATAAACCACACACAAACCAGAAAGAGAGGGAGAGAGAGAGAGAGATGGCAGATACACTGAGAATCTGCAGTGTAGATAATCAAACCCTTTATTGTCTAAGTTACATTAGACTTGCAACACCATAAAAACCTGTTAAGAAGAAGAAACAGTAGATTGGTAGAGGTAGTAGAAAGTCCCTGTAACAGTCATAAAAGGGCTTTACAGGAGTGTGTCATGCCAAAAAAACTTATCATGTTGCTTAAAAGAGCTGATCAAAGTCCATTTGACTAAATAAATAAGAACACAACTCATTTTAAATACTATGGTCTAACTAAAATAACAAATCAATACAATACAATGATAAAGGAAAAAACCCAGAAAAAGTGGGAATCACTTTCAAAAACAGATGGTCCTTAAGGTTGGTTTTCCCCCACCCACTCTTATTTCTTGTTTAATTAAGTGAAAATCTCACTTCTGTGCTATACACAGCATATAATTATTTAAACTGATTTCCCCTACTGTTGTTCTTCATGAAGCTAAATTATGATTGTAAACTTTGCTGATTAGTACCCTGGCAATGGCAGTGACAGCACTAGCTTCTCTGGCAAGAATTTGGGAAGAAAATTCCAGAAAGAAGATTTTGGCTCTAAGTATTAACTCAGATTTTCTAGATCAGCTTGCCAAAAAAGTATAATTATAAAAAGAGAGAATTTACAAATGTACACTACACTTTTGTGCCATTTTGGGTATAGAAGAGTTTTTAATAACTAAACCACAAACAAACAGGTTAAGCAACTAGCTTTTTTGCATTCCTGAACTGTCACCATAACTTTCTCTCATGGAAAATATGACACAGAAAAGCACAGAAAAGCAACAAAAGAAAAAAAGAAATTAAAAAAAAAAAAAAACAAAAAAAAAAAAAAAAAAATAAAAAAAAAAAAAAAAAAAAAAAAACAAAAACAAAGAGAAAGCTAGTGCAAACCCAAAATGATAATCATTAAGCAACACAGCAAAATATTTAATTTTTTCTTTTCTTTCTTTTTTTTTTTCTTTTTCTTTTTTGGTGTACAATGGAATGTGTCTATGCAACCTCCCTCAAAATAACTTCACAGAACAGTTAATTACAATCACCTTTAAGTACTTGCACAGACATTCCTAACTACACCGAGACATACAGAGAATTCTGTTTTACATCTCGTGTAATAGCACAAGATCTAGTTTAAAAAAATGAGTAAGAAAGTTAATTTGCATTGTTGCAAGTGTTGCAAAGTAACAAAACCTGTCAAGTAATTCAAAACAAGTAACAAGTAGTATCCAGCCCAAATTACTGACTAGATTTTTTTTTAAAAGCAACCCCCCCACCCGCCTGTTAGAACTGTTAGAACAGAAAGATCAAGTTTTAAGGTTTTTTTCTTCTTTTTTTTTTTTTTTTTTAACAAATCTTTTGTCAGAAGCTCATTTCTACAAAAACAGCACTATCCCATTACTGTATTAAGTAAACTGTGGTCTCACCTGTATTAAAGGTTAGCATCATTTCTGTACATGTAAAATTATTGCTTTTTTGAAAAATATATTTAGCATGCTAGTTGTTTTTTTAACTCCATTTCCTGCCTTTACAAAATGTTACAATTTAAAAAAAAAACAAACAAACTAGTAAAGCTTTTGCAAAAATTTTCACAGAACATTTTCTTTCAAGGCAGCAGTAACTTTTGATAATGCATAAAATTATATGTGCAAAATCTGAAACTTTCAGAAATATTACCATCACACATAGTGTCACAGCAATAAGAAAAGAAAATATTTATATCTGTGGAATACATTTTTAATTGCTTACACTGCATGGTTTAACAACCTGTTATGTGCCACAACCCCACCTTGAAAACTTGCAGTTAAAGAGTTACTGTAGAAGAGGTATATAAAGCTTTTTTTTTTTTTTTTTTTTTTTTTTCCTAACACCACCAGTGATCACCAAGTACAAGACATGACACATTTATATGAACATTAACCTGCCACCACAAAAGAAGTTCCTCGTCTTTCTAGAACATCAGTGGGCCCAAGGAGGAGCAGCAGCTGGTCTGCTGAACCAAAGGCAGGAGCAGAGAGCACCTTATGGCCCCAGGGCTGCCTGAATCCATTCAGTGACACCTTTTCTCTTCTAAACAGACAGATCAGCGGTGTTAGACAGCTGAATGTTTTATTTTCTCCTTTTTATTTTTCATTAAGTGAAGACTTCCTTTGTGACCAGGTTGAAGAAAGTAGCCCTGTTACAAAAAAAGGTCCTGAGAGTAAAACACAGAAGCCTGTTTTTTTTTTCTTAGTGTTCAACTAGCTTTTCTTTTCCAAAGCAGAATAGAAGCTTTTCTCGGGAAGTGTTTCAATTTCCATATTCACATACTATTAATGGTGTGCAGTCAAGAGCAAGAGCACTAGAAATGCAAGTGGTCCCCAAACTGTAATGAAACAAACCATTGCAGAATGACGGTCTTTCTCTTTAGTCCCTTTAATCCTTCATCAAGCATTGCTTTCTCAGCACCGAATGCCACCTTTTCCCTGCACCCCCCATTCTTCGTCTCACTGTTGTTTTTTTTTTAATTTGCTTTTCAGCATGACAGGCAGTGGCAGTTTCATTAATTAATACTTCTCCAGCCCTCGAATCCACTGCTGTTTTTCAAATGTATCAAATAGTCATTGTGAGCATCAGGGAGGTTTTTGTTACAGTGCTTAACTTCTTCATGCTGTCCAAATCACATAAAGTTTAATTTTTCCAGTGTCTCAAACTTCTCTTGATTAATATAGATGCCTCGTGCCGCCACAGCGCTTGCCAACTCCACTGTTTATTATAAAGGAAATAAGGAACCATGGGACTGATTAGTACGTCAATTTATATATATCTCGTGTAGCATCTTCATTTATTTTAAGATGATTAACAGCGCGGAGGCACCCCCCTCCTGGCAGAGCGCTGCTCCCAGCCTCGCGCAGCAGCTCCGGGTGCGGCGACGGCTGGCAGGGGGATGCTCTGGAGCGCGGGGGGCTGCCGGGGCTCCTCCGCCCGGGATCTAGGTTCCCTTCCGGAGATGCAGCATGTGGGTGACCTCTGCGCTGCCGTGGTCTCTCCCCTGCAAGAAGGACAACACGGGGAAAAGCTCATTCTCGCCCCTGCTCCCAGGCACGACCCTCCAGCAAGTTCTGCCAGCATTCGTTACCCTTTATTAGCATCATGCACATTCATCTCGGCCCACCACATGAGAACACTTTAGGGCTGTTTTTTAAGCATCTCCACCAAGAGCAAAGCGTGTCAGGCCCATATAACGTCCCATATAAAGATGGACTAGAACAACAAGTAACAGGATCTGGCGGAGAAGCTCAGAGAAGGCTGAGAACAAGAAGGGAAAGAAGAGGCCTCCAAAAAGTGGAAATTATGTGCTAGCCAAAAGGGATTCACAACTAAATCAGTGTTTTAAAAGGGCTGAAGTTTGAGGTCACAGAGGCAGCTAAATTAAGAAAACCTGAATTCTTGTGCAGGTCTGTCAAATGCTAAGGCGGCTTTTTTCCCCCCTTGTCATCTTCTTTTTATTTTCTTAGACAATTTTCATGAATAATTACCACTTTGAAAAAAAAATAGCAGGGATATTCTAAAATCAAGTGAAATTAAAGATAACATCATGAATAAGTGGGAGCCTGCAGCTCCCAAGAAAAGCTTTAAAATGACATTTAGAACATCACTGTCGGAACAATGCAGTTTACAATCCTGATCCTAAAACAACATGGCAAGATTAATCTTACATAAATGCATTATCCTTAAGCTAAAGTCTTGATGAAGTGAAACAGACCATTTTAAATTAATGCAACATAAAATACAGCACCCATGTAAAATCCAAGCAAGTTTCAAGCTGTGCCTATGGCAGCCCTCGAAATAGCTAAAGAAAGCCCAGCTCTGGTTGACATAATGTATTAAGTGCATCTCTTTTGTTAATAGATTTAGAAAATTCCTAATTAAACCTGGCCCGAGATTCATGACATTTACCAGTCAAAGTTTGGTTTTAAGTCGGAAAGATTTGCAACAAAATTAAAGAAAAAAAAAGCTGCTGTACAGACTGCAGTATATTTGAAATGTAGGAAACAGTAACTGAATGAGAGATGTGATAAAACTTCCTTAGTTGGATGCTGAATTTCCCGCAGTAAACTAAGAAAGATACTTTACATTTTTGCGCGGCTGCATCATGCCTGAGAGACACAGCCACAATTCCAAGAGGAGGCATTCATCACTGGAGCGCCTCGTATCGAACCGGCTCCACCTACACAGGGGAGCACAACAGAGCTTCATGGGGCTGGGGAGGAGGGAGGGAAGGGGAAGGAAGGGGATGGCAGGCCCCTTGCCCCACTTTCCCTGGGCAGAAGCTGGAAAAAGGGATGTAATTAGGAACCCTCTTCTGGGATGGACAGCCTGTGAGGTGGTAAAGGTGTGCCCTGCATGTCATGGAGCACACAGCGCGAGGGATCCAGGAGAAGGACAATCCATCCTCCCCACCCCTGCAAGGACAGCGCAGAGGGGCTGGAGATGCTGTGTGGCTGGGCCCCTCTCAGGCACAGCTGTGCTCCCAGTTTCCTTGGTGAACAGAACCTGAGCTTCACGTGTGCCAAAACCCACCCAGGGGCTCACCCGCCTGCACTCACACCATCCCAAGGTGTGGTCACATTTTGAACCAGCTGACACAGAGTTGGATTGAGTTCTTCCTGAAATAAAAAGGCTTTCTCTTTTAAAAAGTAGGGTTTCTTTCAGTGAAAAGCAGCAGATCTTTACGTGAAACCTACAGCTTCCATGCCAAAAGCTGCTCTCATAGCAACTTCCAGGGCTTTTCCCCAGTTAACAGGAAAAACCCAGTTTGTGTGCATGTTAATATGCTGGAGACAGATCATTGCATGACATTGAAGTAAACTGCAAGGAGCACAGATACCACTGCAGTTTGCTAGCAAGGGACAAGTGCTGGGACAAGAACCACAGCTCCAAATCCTGTCTCTAATGCTCATAAAGTAACAGACGTACAGCACATGCATATTACTCAGATGCCAGTATAGCAGCCTCCATGGTTCCTTGATTGTTTGCATTATAATCTCCATATGTATGAACGAGACAAATTAGGTTGCCATTTATTTGTTCATTATCTATTATTTTGATTAATGGAATTCTTGTTCTCAGAATAACTATTTAAAAATAACATTTGCAATAATGAGGACTGAACTATTAATCATGATCTTTGGAAGAAACTCTGCAAGGAACTGGGGCAAGACATTTCATATGAACAAATGTCATAAACAGGAGTTCTAACAGACAGTACTAGAATTTTGAGTGCAAGAAAACCCAAACGAGCCAAACTCAGAAACCAACAGTTTAAGTAACTTTTTAATCTGGGTTATGTTTTTTTGCCTCCTTGCTTTCTCTGTAAAGTTGCTTTAGGACAAGCAGAGCCATAGTGTGGCTGGACTATAAAAACATTACAGGTAACAGATGTCTCCAGCTGTTCCCCCAGGCTCCTTTACAACACACATATAGACATGTATATAGTGTTTTCTTGATGGTTATTTCCAATCTTTCTATCCCCCAAGTTCAGACTATTCATATTTATGTGATTTCAAGTACTGAATGCTGCAAGAAATATTTTTAAATACTTATAGTGGAGAAAATAAAGGTTTATGGACCCCTTAATGAAGGGTCACACAGTACCCTTGTCACACAGTAAGTACAGGACCTACTTTTCAGTGAATGATGCCCAAAAACTGTGGTGCCAGAGCTGTTTCCCAAAAAAGGCCGATCACAGCCTTCTGGCATGGGGAAAGTTTCAGCCAAAGAATTCAGGATACCAACAGTTCGGGTTTTCTCCCTGGGCTGCAGCTTCTAATTGATTTTCTGTAAATAAAAGACTGTTCTTCTGGAGAGGACAAAGGCTGGAGTTTTGGGGATTCCCCTCGTTTCACTCACACAGAAGATGGAGAACTTGGTGTCTCTGCCTCCAGTGCTGCAAATATGGTTCATGTATGTGTACACTAAACTAGAGAGAACTCTTCCTCATTGCTAACCAGGAAATCAGGCTTTTTGAAAACCTGCTTTCTTGTCCCTTAAAATTTTTAGAGCGCATTGATTGACACTGATAGAGCATAAACGACATTCCTAAAGCGGGCCGAGTTTTTATACAGCTTTAAAAACACAGAAGGAGTCAAAATGCACGGCGTGCCCCCGCTGCTGTCACCACGGTGAAAAAGCAGGCTCCAGACTGACTCCTGTACCGCTGGGAATTGGGCTGCTGGCTGCAGCATCAGGCAGTGCCTCTGGAATGACCCCACGCTTTAGGAGAGCCTTGCTTTGAGACACACACACACACACACATGTAGTTGCAGGGCCCCTTCTGAAGGGGAGCCAGCTTTTGTCTTGCCATGTACGTGCAATTGGAGTGTACTCCCCGAATTCATGCCTGCTAAACCGTGTCTCTGGATGTTGCTTAAGAGTATTCCAAATTAAGATACATATTCATTGTGGATAAGCAAGTTTAATTATGTATATACTGGGATATTTAGCATTTATAAAAATATTCAGAATATTCAATATGTTTAATATGGCAGCTTTTCAAGAGAATCTATGTGACTTAGCACAGATTGTATTGACTTGGGGTATGTAATGAGCATTTTTTGTCCTTTAGATAAAGAAGAGTAGGAAATATTCCAAAGTTCATGGGAAATTAATTTTATGTAAAAATGTAATTTGGTTGGGTTTTTTGTTTAAAGCATTCAGGTAGAAATAAGAAACCACAATAAATAATGTTATGAATGAACATCTTATTTCCTACATTTCATTTATATTTCATTGGTGCTGATAACAAAGCATGAAACACAGCCCAGTGTGAGAAGAGAAGCAAAACTGTGTGTGTTTGATCTTTTTTTACACACTCCTATAGATAACCTCCTTCTCACAGATGCTGAACACCTGCACCTCCTGTTGGTGGTTCACTACCCTAAAACAGGGTTCTTATTTAGATACCTAAATATAGATTTAGCTGGTTCATTTTTGAAACAGCCTGGCTGTAGAACCTATTTTTAACATGCAGAATTAGAATTATTCTGTGATAGAACTGCTATTCAATGTAGCACTGCTGTAAGCTACCATGCTGGGGGATTTTAAAAGTCCTACCTAACATTGTTTCCTGAAGGAAACCTTTAGAGATGATCTGGCTGACTAGAGAGGGGAATGGTGGAACCGTGAAATACTAATGTTAATATTTTTACTCTTTAGCAGACTACTCAGGGGAAGCTATTTCACCTGTGAGGTGGAAACATTATGTAAAGTGAATCATTTCCACTTGACATCAAAGAAACCCCCCCTTCCTTTCTCAAACTACCATATAGGTAACTATTGTTTCTTGCTCGGAGCATGTGCACGGCACTTCTGTAACTTGAACTGACTTTACACCCTAAACTCTCATGAACAGATCTGTCCCCAATTAAGAAATGAAATGAAGACATGGAGTGACAACGTCTAAAGTGGGAAATGGTAATGTTAACAGAATGCTGCAGGCACCATTCTCACTGAGAGCTCATTTCTGCGCTTCTAAAGGCCCCTACAGCTGCCTGTGGAAATGAGAGCATTCCCTCTGTAACGCCCAGGGACTGTGCAGGTGGAGTCTGCTGGGGCAGCACAATGCCTGCCTGCGACGAGAGCCAGCGAAACAGCAGACAACTGAATAATCCCCCCGACACAGACGCTGACAAATTGAGACAAAGGTTGGTACTGAGGAGCAAACAAGACAAAAGAAAGGGAATGATCTCCTGCAGGAGTGATCACACTGCATCTTCTGTGGAAGAAATACTGGCTGGCACGAGATGAAGCCATTGAAGAAGTTAATCCCTACCTGGTGTTCTGCTGTACTGAGAGATGCTATAATTTCATCAAACTCTTCGAAGGCAAACTGGCAGATAGAGAGAGCAAGCTACCTTTGCCATGGAAGAAGTTAGTCAATAAATTCTGGCATAACAACAGTTTACAAAAACAAGAGAATGAGTCAGTTAATTGTGCAGTAATATAACCCAAATTACAAAGAGAGTCCAGATGTGGTCAGAGCTGCCATGTTTCTTTTTGGATATATATGGCCATTCCAGAATTTTCTGGAAATGTATTTCCAACTTTGACCTTATATCGTCTTCTAGAAGAAAGCCCAGATGACTTCAGAATGTGACCTCAACTAAACATGAAAGAAAAAGGAGCATGAAAAGATGAAAGAGCGTTTTTACAAGATGCTTAGGTTTACTAAATCTACGTTACTAAACTGATGAGAATCAAAGACTAGCTGAGCGAGTTGGCAGAGCTGCCGTGTTTTTTCACTCTGTTACATTGACTGTATCTGTGTCTCTGTTACTCAGAGATGTGTCCTTACACAGTTTTATCAGATAAGCATCACAAGGCGGACACTGCAACATGACTTTGCAGCTACTGTCCCACAATAGCATAGCAAACATTGCCCACAACAACTGAAGTGCAATGCCATCTCGGAAACTTTATGAGAATTGTTGGCCACTCCTATGGCTCGGTGTCAATTCAGATGCTCCTGTGACAGAGGCTGGGTTCTCCATGCAGCCTTTGGGCCAGAAAGATGCAAGGGCACAGAGAAGGTGCCAAGGGTCTTCATGAAAGGTGCAGCATATGAACGAGGCAGCGCAGTGGTGCTCGGTGAGAATGTTTACTGAGCAAGTAGAAACCAATTCCTAAACTTCATCATGTTGGGGATAGCATGGAGATGCATTCTCTAATCATGGCCAAAAACATCTGCACCAGTTTAGTAAGAGACAGAAGGACAAGGGCTACTGTAGTGAAAATTACACTAAGAATGAGGATGAAAGGAAAAGTGAGTGAAACTCCATTGTGAAACTGCTGGAGGCAGTTTCACAGTGGAAGAGAAGTGCCCATGAGAAGTGTGCTCTGAAACAAACCTGCCAAGCTGCAAATTGAATGGGAAGGTCCAGGCTATGACACTATTCTCCAACTACGTAAGATACACAAAACAAATTCAGTTTAATGATTTTCTATGTAAGGGCTTTGTCGTGTATAATTCAGAGCTCTGAGAAGTGTTTGTTAAGACAGGAAACTGTATGCTATAAACAAGAAAGCACACTAACAGAGTCCATGGAAACCAGTGGGTGAGAGTTTTTCGAAGTCAGATACTGGGTATCAGGGTGCAAATACTCCACAGAAAAATACAGACTAAACGTTAGTTGTCTTGTTGAAGAAGAAAACATGTTAATTGTAAAAGCAAATTTCCAGGAATTCTTTATGTACTATCTCACTATTACACGTCAGTGCACATTACAGTTACCCATCCCACCCAGTCCCCAAGTAAGACAGTAACATGTTTATTTAAACACTAACTACCTGCTTTAAAATTAACTGACTCTCTACATATCAGATTCTGAAAAAATGCTTTAAAAATTTAAGAGCTAAAAATTAAGCAATACTATTATTATTTATACACGTTATAAAGCAGTCAGTGCTTTAGTGATGAGTATCGCTGTGCAATATTTTCCCAGCTACCACATTAAAAACCAAACACCCAATTAATTGTAAAACATACTTGTTTTGGGGCATCTGCGGAGGTGGTGTGAACTTCAGTACCTCGGAGTCCATTAGACTCAAATACCACTGTGGGAACAAGGGGGCTTGTTAACAGATGAACATTCAAGCTTCGTTAGTGTGTGTACATTATTTGAGACCATTACAGATTAACCACGTTCAAAAAAAGACACCAGCTACTAGCCTGTGGCCGGAAAATACCAATTTACCGTAACACTTACTGTAAGAGAGTGTGCTAATGGCAGCCTAGGGCCACTGCCCTTTTTAATTCAGACTTCAGCGCTGAAGAAAGCAATCACTGACAACATTAATTATCAGTGTATGTGTAAAGGGACCCTCTTCTTGCATTACTTACCATTTGGCTTCTGTCATTTTGCATCAGACTGGCTTATGTATGCATCATTCACACTTTTGAGGGGGAACCTGCTACTCTCACTGTCTCATGCAATGCTCAGGAGGGCTCACGACACTGGTGGCTTCAGCGTCCTCCAGCCTCAACCACAGACTGTGTCAGGTTAAAAAAGGCTGATAGGGATTTCCCATTTTAGGGCTGACCAGTCTGAGGGAAAATCTCGTTTCCCACAAAAATGTTCCTGTCAACAGCAAAGATGAGGCAAAACAAAGCCTTATGTTGTGCTGAAAGGGGTACTTTGATTTCAATTTGTGCTGGTGGCAACAGAATTCATTAGCATATTCATTTCTGAGTACCCTACTCTCTAATTAAAATAAAACATTTGCAAACAGACTTATCTTAAATGCATTGCAATTTTATGGAGTTCGGGCAATGATCAGGTAAGCAATATTTGGAGAACAAGAGCAATAGTCATAAAAATAAAAAAACATGTCTATTAGATTTAGGTACTGGAATTACTTAGGTTAACATGGTACGTGAAATGTAATTCTTGGCATTTTGTTAGCTGAATCTGAAAGCAGTCAAGTGGGAAAGGGAGAAAGCAATAGCGAGTGTGAAAAGATACCTGTGTGGGACCTCTGATGGGTCCTGAGGTGGCTGGGTTGGGTAAAGCATTTTCCACATTCTCTGCAGACACAGTCTCCTTGGCGTGTTTGTGTCCTGAGCATCCCTGTAGTCAGGAGAGAGGAAGGGAAGAGGGGGGGAGTAGGGAGTGGGGGGAGAGGAGAGAGGAAAGTTGAGAAGAAAACATTATGCCAGAAGAAAACATCATTAGTATGTCTAATGTGTCATTATGTGAGGCTACCTTCAGGCCCTGGATGACAACTGTCAGCCTTCATCTAGGCACTGGCTGACAGGCCAGGCACACACAGGACTGCAAGAATGCATAAATTACATTGAATTAAAAAATGCTCCCCATGATGTGCCCGCACCAGGACTGGCATGTCAGGTGTGCGCTTTTCAGAGCAGCTGGATCCACTTCTCAGCCATCACCCAGCTTTGTCAAGCAGTACATCAGGCAAATCAAAGTGACTCCAGCGTGGCGGAGACAAGTCACATGGATAATAGGAAGTGAGTAGGACCAGAGCCCGACTGTCCCCCCCAGGCGGCAATACCTCAGAGACAAATGCAGAGCGAGCGGAGCCATCGCAGACTGATCAAACCTTTCGCCCCTGCCTACCTGCCTGCCGGTGCTGCTCTGACCCCGGACCTCTGAGGCACAGACGAAAGACATCTGTGAATGAAAGTGTCATTCCGGACATTTTGAGCTGGTAGCAGCACAGCAGCCTTCCCCCAGCCCTGGGTAAACATGTTTTCTAGGCCATTAGCATTTGTGGAAAACCGCTCAAACCTCTCCTTTTTCTCCAAAGGTCAGTTTACAGCATCTGACTTAAAGGGCTGGTCTTTGTCTTTTTGCTGCTGATCAAAAAAGACACATTTGACTTTTATTGGGCTTTTTTATTATTGAAAAAAAAATGTTTGAACATCATCTTTTCTATTTTGGTAAAACACCCTCTTTGGAAGAAAAGAGATGATGTTTCCATTTGCCACTGGAATACTTTGGCTTTTAAAGAAATTCTGAGAGGGATGTCAACAGAAGTGAAGTTTCAGCTTTTCTTTCATATTCCCCCCCTCCCCCCAGTTATAGCATTTAAGAAGAATAAAATTGTGACCAAAAAGTGGCAACAAAAAGCCTCCACACAACTGAAAAATCAACAGCAGGATGCCACAAGATTAATCCAAAATACAGATGCTGCATCTGAAAATGAATGGAGAAGAAGACAGCTAGCTGCCATTTACTCTGCTGCTATGACACCAAGCATCCTGGGATGCTTTTCACCAGACCAAACACTGCAAAGAAATGTCTTGCTGCAAAAAACTTCTGAACAAACACCCCACTCACAGTTTGTTCTCTTCTTTTATAATAGCACCTCCTGCAGATGGCAGCACAGTCTGCAAAATGTACCTGAATACTCACTCACAAAATTAAGTTTCTGACCATCAAATACAAGATCATGATTTGGGGAAAAATCCAGATCAGGTACACACACAAAAAAACCCTAAACAAACAAACAAACAAAAAACTCCAGGGGGAAAAAAAAATTCTACCAAAAAAAATTTTTTTTAAATCACGTTAAGTGTTCTAAGCATCAATGAGAACCTTACTGAACTGTAATGGGGTGGGTTTGCCTTGTAAGGAAGGCAGGATTAAAGCAGGATTTCTGAGCTGTTACGAGCATTTCTCCCTTCACTGCCCAGAACTCTAGCTGCAAGTTGGAAAGCCAAGCTGAGGAAAGTGTGTGGAGGAACCAGTTGTGGCCTTTGCAGGAGTGCCATGCTGACTGCTGGACAGGCAGGGACTGGCAGAGCAGCTTTGTCAGGCCCAGGAGAGCTGGGTTCCTCAGGTCCTGGTTCTGACACCTCTGGAAAGACATTTAATCCCTCTGTAACCCACATTTCCTTCTGTTGAAGGGGAATACACTTATCTCAGCAGCCATCACCAATCTGATCCACCAGCCTTCATGGAAGCACCTCTCCTACCCATGAGGGAAGGTTGAGCATGCTGTTTGTAAACCAACGTATAAACACCAAGGATGAGTGGGTTAAGACTTCCACCTAACCCCTCCCTAGCACTCACTTTATGGGAATTATTCAATAAGCAGGGGGAAAAAACAGATTGCTTCCAGGTGTATTTGCCATTGTTTCATTTCCCAGGTAGCACCAGAAGGCTTTTGATAGCTCAGAGCTTTGAGCCACGGGCGTGGCTGCCACAAGGCAATACCCCTGGGAGTCGTCACTCAGGTTATCCTCTAGGTGAGCAAAAAGGGGTGGATGACTACAGGTGTTCGATAATTCAGGTAAAGGAACACCACTGTGTGAATGGGAGCTCCTGTGAAATCCATGCTCAAAGCTAGTCTCAAAGGAGCCCTGAAGAAAGAGTGCATCTGCTGCCATAACCCACCCTTTCCTAATATATAAATGGCATGAATAAAATAAATAACCTCTAATAAATGTAACAGTAAGATTCTCTCCACAGGCATTTCAGAAGATTGGGAAGTGTGAAACAAACCTAGCCTAGCACAGCAAGCTTCATGTTTGCAGCTGTATCACAGCAGTATACACACCAACTCTCTTCCAAAGACACATTGGAACAAACATCAAAGAAAGGATCCCAAAAACAAATGCAGCCACTCAAAAGGAAGTTGAACACTGTACTACCACACACGAAAATAATCTAGTGTGATCCAAGATGACATCATATACCAAAAACCCCAAGGAAAGTCTATTGGGAATATTCAACTGAGGGGAAAAAACATGACAAATAGTATACATAATCCAGATTTTTGGATGTCCTTTATGTCATAATTGCCATATTCACATTACAGTATTAAAGCTATATGGGATGCTGCATACTGACTCAGAGGACTCAGCTTATCTAGAGCCATATGTTATTTCAGATGAAGTTCAATTACCCTCCTCTGTCTGCAGTTGGTAGGATCTTGTTCCTTTTGCCTGAAGCAGCTTTTTATTTGAGTGCTATGAAAAACAGCCGTCATGCCAATTGGTTTGGAGAAACATCAGCAACCTGGAAGTTGTATATAAAACGAAGACAAGCTACATTTAAAAAAAAAGAAGTTTCAAATTCTGAAAACTTGATTGCTGTAAAACACTTGGAATGAAAGAAGAGGTTTCAAAGCAGAGATGGGCACTAAATAACTTCCAGTTAAAGCATCTCTAGAAATCACTGCCCAGCAAAAACATTTTGGCAATAAAATCCCTCTTTTAAAAGGCAGGTAAACAGAGACCTCTTTAGAAACCCTGCCCCTATTTTACTCTGTTCCAAAAGTCATCATGAATTTTCTGGTCCTTGCCTTCACTTAGTCATCTTCTATTTCCTAGCTTTTACTGTTTCTCTCTTATCCCTCCTAACGTGGCTGGGAGCTCACTGGATCAGTAAGATTTCTCTGAGCAGGCTGACACAATGTACTATTAAATAACATCAAGGAGGGCACCCACGCAAAGGGACCCCAAGTTGGGGGTGGTACAATTAAGTGGTACTTAAGAGCGGGAAGTGAGCAAGGAGAAACTTTAGACAAACAATCCACTGGGATGCTGAAAGCAAAGCCAACTGGACAAAAAAACCCCTAAGGAACACTGAAGCTGTAGTTTCAGACACTAAGCATGTCTTCCTCTGCTTCCCTAACAAAACCCAGGAGCCTGATGTTGGTTGCAATCATCACGCAGGCCCTATGCTCCTGAGAAATTATCTCAATAAATAACAGGCCCCTACGCAGCACCACGTTTGAAGGGACTGAGCAGAACTGACAGTGGAGGTGGCTGAAAGGTGCAACTCACTCATGAACTGTGTCAAGACAGATTCTGCCCTCCTGTCTCCTCCAAAGGGCCCTTCCACCAAGACCTGACTTAACACTCTGGGTTCCTTCCTTGCCTCAACTTGCACACACCTTCTAGGCACTAGACCACAGCTGTCCTTAAGACTACCAGCTTCCAAGGGTCCTGGATTTTGTACCACTTGCAAAAGCTCAATTTCACACATGCTTTTGACAAAACAGAGTGTACCATGTCAAGTGAGGACACCGGAACACCGGCCCAAAATGTGTTCTCTTTTCATGTGGAGTTGATTTGCACGACTTCTACAAAGAGAGAAGGGTATAAAAAATAGCACAGTTTACAAGTGGTAAGAGGTGAGACTCCGGCTCCGATTCTCCTCCCCTACAGACACACACACATCTCATGGGTAAACAATCAGTGTGATTTTCAGTTTCCACTGAGACAAACCAATTCTGGCAGATCATCAGAAGAGTATGGTTTCAAATGCAAATATGTAGGTGTATTTTTATTTATACGGTTGTTGAACTTTTTTAGTCCCCAAAACTTTTAAACTGGCTATTTGCACAACTGATTTTTCTGCTTATGTGAATTAGCAGGCACATGTTCAGCTCTGCCTCTTTTTAATTATAAGCATAAAAACAGATCAGAAGACTCATTTGAAAAATACCCAGTAGCCTTTGATATGGACAAGGAAGATCTTAAGACTTTTGTCAAGAAAGACAAAGGACACTGACAAGCGATTATCCCTCTGTGTTGTTGGAAGACTTGTTTGCAGACAAAATTGAACAAAACCTCCAAAATAACATCACAGATAAGCCCCAGAGGATGTTTATTTTGCCTGAAGCAAAAAGATGATGATGTCTGCCAGCACCAGCATATCAGGGGGATCCTCCTGTGACAGCACATCTGTGTAACTCAAGCCTGCTTTAAGCAAGAGGACAAAAGAACAGCAGTACTCCAGGTGCTACCAGATACATTTAACCTGCGACAGAAATGTCACACAGTGCACGAGGGGGGATGCTGCAATGTTAAGAGAGCAGTAAACAAACCTATTCAAGCCTATCCAGCAATGATAAAAACAGTGAACTTGTAATCCTAACGGTTAAAGGCAGAGAAGGAAAAAACTGGGAAACAGCATGTCATGGTTCTAAACAGAGATGGAACAAACAAGCTGCATCCTCATCAATGGAAGGGCTTAAAATCTTACCTGTTTGATCTAGGACAGGGCTGTTGGCACCACAGGTTTGGTACAGTGAAGCAAGGTCCTTTGGAATGTATGTTTTAAAGATATTTAAAATGTCCAAATGTTTCTCATGCCCATCTGATCCCAGATCCTGTTTGCTGGAGTGTAAAGCCGGAGGAACTCCCACGGCACCAGGCTGAGGCTGCAGCACTGGACTGGCTCGTGCTACTGCTGTGCAGTTTGCCAATGTCCTCATCTCATTTCCAGCCTTCACGTGAGGCTCCCTCTGAGGCACCGACGGCTCTTCATGTTTAGGGTACGGCTCACTCTTACACAGAGGATGGTACTGCAGAGGGGGGTTGTATTTGGCCTTCACGGAGTCGGCTGCACAGTGCTTACCTGGAGAGGCAAAACCAGTACTTCCTTGGGGAACCACATACTTTTCCATTTGCTTACTGTTGCTGGGCTGCGTGCTAGGCCTGGATATGACTGTTTGAGTAGGTGTGATGCTTCTGCTGTAGGTTCCCATTTGTTTGGAATTTGCTTCGTATTTGCTTTTTTGTTGTGCTGCTGTGCTGTACTGCTCCTGGGAATGGTTTAGCTTGGGCTGTCTGTACCCATCCAGACCTGGCACACGTGAACCACAGTGGCCGAGCGCATGACTGTCCTTTGACAGATGCGTACTCCCGGACTTTGCAGCCATCCCGACAGAAAGGGAGCTGGGTTTGGAACCTGGCAATGCACTTGGCACTTGAGTACGAGTAAATCTGGCAATGGGCAAAGGCTGGCATTCCTTACCACCGAGAACAGGAGGGGGGCCAGTGCGCCCATTCCTCGCCAGAAAGACCAGGTTGGTTTTAATACTCTTGAATCCGTTTTGTTGAACCCACGGGGGTACCATCGAGTTACAGCTGATTTTGTGCAAAATTCTTTTGTGCATCCACAGGACTTCAGGGTAGTAGGTCTTGTGACTGCAGAAAGGACACGGGTAGACAATTAAAGCAGCCTGCAAGGATGTATTCAGATATTTATTGCATGAATTATCCCTTGTTGATTTTTCACTCAAATCGAGTGGAGCTATCTCTAGAGCTTCAGCACCTTTTTCTATCAGAGGATGCTCCCTGTGCAAGTCTAGCAAATTTTCTCTAGCACGACTAGCCTGCACTTCAAGTGACGTTTTCAAGTCCATGACCATGTCTAAAGATGTGTGGCCCATACCCGAAGCAAAGCTAGCAATGTGACTGGAGCAAGGAAGCCCTTGGCTGTGATGAAATACTGGCATCTTTATGTCTGCAGAACCTTGGTATTTTGAAAAGGGTTCCTTGATGACACTCTCCAGTGCTGAGACCAGAGCAGGAATCTCTGGTTTAGATTCCCTGGACTCATTCTCTCTGGCGTTGTGGCCTCCCACCTTTGGGAGTTCATCCAATGGAGATGTTATCATTGGGGTCTCCTCTTCGGGGAAGTTACAGTGGTATGGCTTTCCATCTGAATGAGAGAAACAAAAAAACAACATTATCATTTTACACAGAAAGAAGCCAAAAACACAAAGAAGAATTCAAGATCAGAAGAGGACAAACTTTGGTATTACTATGGTAATGATGTGCTACAGACCAAAGGTACTCTATGAGCAAGAAAATCTTGAAGTAAGACACAACAGTTCAATTTACTTTTAAATATGACTGCGTAGTCTGGATAAACTCTCTAGTACTGCATGTTCATGACATTTTGAAGAAAAAACAATTCAATAACATACCCATGTTAAAATTCTGGGACTGCGAGAAAAATAAACAAATCTGCAACCATTTAATGCTTTAACAAAAGCAAAGATAATGGAGCCAGATAAAACTGACCTAGTTAAAGGTCTGTCAGTGCTTCCATTACAAGCCCCTATTTTCAAAGGGTTTATAACTCAGCAATAAAAATTGGCTCCACACGGAAACCAACCATAGAAGCAGGTACAGCATACAGAATAAATTGCCCACTTAAGGGGGACTTTTGCAGTGGCCAAGTATAAAAGATGAGTTATAGAGGGTGTAAATTTTGAATTTTCTTTCGTTTAGTTTAAAACAGATATTTTTCTTCTGGTTTCTTTAATTTTTTTTTTCTTTATAACATACGTTTATGTTTGAATCAAAACTTTGTGACTGCTCAATCCATAGAAAGATAAGAATCCAACATTTCAGCCATTTAGATTACAGAATTCAAAACACACTTTTAATTTTCCTCATTTTCTTTTTCACTTCTCAGCTCTCCAGAGTAAATTTATCCACCTAACATATGTCTGGGAAAGGGAGCATTCTGGCCAGTAATTAAAACAGTTTAGGGTGAAAGAGAAGTGTAGGAATTGTTTTGCTAGGAGCATGGCTACATCGGCCGTTCTCCCAATGCTGACCTCTGAGAGCCACTGATGAAGCCAATGAATCCCTTTAAATCAGTTCACAGATCAATTCCACAGAGATTTTCATCACAGCAGTAATGCTTACTGCATTGAATCCATTTAGCATGTAACTGAATTGAATCATCTGACAAACTTTCAGTTTCAATTAACACGCAGTTAATGAGCCACTGCCAGGCAAGTGTAAGGAGACCGTGCTCCATCCAAAACGTCACCAGTCCAAAGTGATCACCACATCCTTAGGAAGGGTGAGAAGGGGAAAGGAGTGAACTGCTCTGGAGCTGCATATCCTCTCACATCAGCTCAGAAAAGCCAGCCCTCCAGAGAAGCGAGCGCAGGGCACTGCCACAGGCATTATTCTGCAATGGAAGAGCCACGCTGTTGGCTGGAGCTGCTCTGCACATACTTAGCCTCACCTTCAATTCAAGCAAAAACATTCCTAAGCTTTTGTTTAATTCGAGGTAATTAGGTTAAAAATAACCCATAGGTTTGCAGCCTCGCAGGGCTGAATGCTCACTCTGCTGAGATCATTTTCCTTTCAAACTCTCAAAGAGGGAAAAAATCCCCACAACCCAGAAACTTGTTTTTCCCGTGTTGCAGGCAACAAGGTTTTGGGAAAGCACATGCCCAGCACTACTAGCTAAATTTACAGTTTGAAACAAAGACACTGCACGCAGCAGTGAAATCTGACACTGCACATCTGTGTTTTTTCAAAGCGTATCTGTCAAAGCCCAAAATACTTGCGCTCTTAAATAAGATTTTAAGGCTTCTCTTTAGGATCACAAGGAGTGGCTGCTTTGATCACTGCAGTAAATAATAAAGCAAAGTAAAAACAAATCCTTTGGTTGCAGCAGTACTCAGTGGAGAAAGAACCGACCTGCTGGCTGTACTGGGCAGAGGCGGGAGGTGGGAGACCACTGCCAGCCCCATTCCAGGGACTACACAGCTGGGAGGCTCTTGGTCCACCTCTGCAGCTGTGATGAAGGGAGGCATCAGCAGTATGATATCTGCAACTCCCAGGTTGCTCTGAGTACCACAGACATTCCTGCATACTTTCTTGCTTGGTCAAAATCTATGTACCAAGCTGTTTCAGCAAGGAGGACAAGGTCAGACTGTGAGGGGTGGCACATCTCAGATCTGAGCTTGGTCTTTAGGTCTGGACTGCTCAGTTTAGGTCTGTACGTGGGGAGGGGAGGAGGAGGAGAAAGCAGAGAGACAGCCCACAGTCCTGTGTGCCCCCCACAAAGCCTGGGACTGCAAATTTTGAGGTGGATGTAGGCCTTTTTGCCCTATTTCCTAGTGCATCCATCTATGAAAAAGGGATTTTTTCAGATGGAAAATGTAACACAGCAGGAAAATGAAGACATTTCTGAGGTATATAGGCCTGCAGTTGCCCCAGTGCTGTCAGTGGATTACATGAAAATTTGTAAGGCTATTACAAAACACAACCATAAGCTTCTAACACCTTTTCATAGTGTCTTGCTAGATTCAATTCCTCTGATGCCTCACAAAAACAGTAATGAACATACCAGGAATAATTTTAAAGCTCAGATCAGGAGGCTCAATAGCAGTATTTGTGCTGCTTTTTTTTTTTTTTTTTTTTTTTTTTTTTTAGCTGTACTTAAAAAAAAAATACAAACAAAATGAAGAAACAAACAAAAACCCAAACAAATAAAAAAACCCTCACATCCATACCCTACTTCCCAAGATTTGGACAGAAAAAATTTTCACCTGCAGGCCAACTCAGAATTCCTTCTCAGTACAAAGCACAGCCTATAGCTCTTCCCTAGTCCCATCCTGCCCTCCACCAGGGATCCAACACTATGGATCTCAACACCCAGACTGCCTTGTGCCATCTTTCCCATCATGGCAGGTGATCCAGGCTGGGCAGCGAGCAGGTATCAAAAGCCAGGTGGAAGAGGGGATGCAGGCAAGAGCATGAGAAAATGATAAGCATACTCAAAAATATAGGTAAAGTCTTTTTAGAAAAATATATTAAATTTATTTCTGCCTGCTCCCAGCTACTTGCCCCAGCTGAAAAGGGGTACTAATAATCCTTTTAAATCACTGGTGTAAAATATTGTTCTAACCAGCCCAGTACAGGCATTACTGTCACCAGAAACTTTTGAAATTTTATTATGGCCAGGTCAAAGCAAAAAGCCATGAATGAGATGCCTTCTGCTTAATCTCCAGGGACTGTAACTCACACTCCCTATTGAAAGAGTTCTTGGCTAAGCATGCTCTCACTTTTATCCTACAGTCTCCATCATCTCCTTAGATTTTGTCTCAATTCCTTAGTTTCCTACCCCAAACAGCTGTTTTTATCTGTTGTACTTTAGGGTGAGAAAGGTCCTTTTACCACAGGAGAAGTGTTACAGTTTTTCTCGATCACAGATACCTGGGCAACAGCTAAAGCAGAGGAATTTTCCCAGGTGCCCAGCTAGGAGGTGGCTGCTGATGCCACCACCAGTTTCGCTGCAGCTTCAAGTATCAACAGCATCACAGGCCACAGGGAAAGCAGAGCAGGAGAGTGCAAAACACTTAACTTATATGAAAACCATGGTCTAGAAACACAAGAACATTCAGGGATTTGAGCAGTTCCTCAGAAATACACCTAAAGCCCTCACCCAGTTACTCACCCAGATAAAAGGAACGCCCCTTCTCCCCACACACATATATCCTCTCTTTCTCCCCCTCACATGCATAAACTCCACTTGTTTTCTTCCCAGCACTGTTTCTCCACAAAACAGAATTTCAGAATGGGCTGCACAGCTGTTTTAATTCATGAGGCTTCCTATAAAGTAAACCAGGCTACAAGGCTGAGGACAATGAAATCGTGATTTCTATTCAGAAGAGCAGAACTGGCTAGAAATTGGCCCCTTTTCTGGCTAGTGTTACAGCACTAGGAGTCTAAGGAAAAGGAGCAGATGTGGTGTGTTTGATTTTCAGTAAACATTTGATAGTGATTTGCACTTTGAGATGAATACTGTGGCTTGATTTGAAAACCGACTGCAAATAAATCATGATAAAAGCAAAGGATAACAAGGGAAGAAGGTGCAATATTGCAAAGACCTGTATTAGGTCCTATTTCACTTGGTATTTTCTTTAATGTTCCAGAAGAGATTCTAGACAGCATGCTAACTTAAATCTCCAGGAAATATCACATTTGGAGGAGCTGCAAAAATAATGGGGACAAGGAAATAATGCACAGGGACTCAGAGAGAATAGAAATGCAGTCTGAAAATAATCAAATGAGATTCATTCTTGGGAAGAAATGCAGGCTAAGACAAGTGAAGGGAAATGATCCAAGAAAATCCATGCAGTGGGAAGGCAAAATCTGGGAAGAAGCAATGCTGAAAATAACTGATGTTACAATAGACAGCAAGTTAAATATGAGTGTACTAGATGAAGTTCTTCAGCTTAGCTTTCAGAGATAAAAGCACACATTATGAAAACAAAAATAAAACTATCCCTCAGAAGAAGACACAATGGCCATGCTGGTCACACTGTGTTTTCAATATAGAAAATATATGAAAAACATATATTTAAAAAAAGCTATATAAATATATACACACCATAATAATGGGCACTATGCAAAAACCCACGGTAAGCAGAATACAATGGGACCCAGCAGGGGAAAAAAGGCAAAAAGCAGTTTTGCCACAGAAAATTCAGGTCTTTTATTCTCTTAAAGGAAGGTTCAACAAAAACAGTCCATGCCCCTAGAATACCTGTGCAGTTTTGCAAATACAGGTAAGTCAGATGGAGTTCAGAGAACTGCCACAGAAAAGTAACACGCCCCCTTCCCCCCAGAAAATAAAGACAAAGAGTTTCCCCCACATGGCTGAGGTAAGACAGAAGGGTGACAGGCCAATGTCTACAGCCTCCCCAGGAGTTCAAGCTCCAGAAGAATTATGTCATCCTGAGCACTGGAGTCTATCAACAACAATCAGATACACTTGCACACAGAAAAACTTATGATTAACAGAAATAAAAAAAAAAAAAATGGTTTTTGCAGCTTGAGGAATAAATGTCAAGGGAAGAGGCAAAACACCACTTGGACTGTAAAACCTGCATGGACAAAAACATG